GTGGGTTTGTGCATAAGTACTTAGACATGACAGAATGGGTTTGATAGATAGTACCAATCCTCAGCCTCCTCGCCTTCTTTTTCCGGACATTTTATTCCGTACACCGTCTACAAGGTCGAGATATCTAGGCCGTTAACCTTGCCGAGGAAATCGCCATTGGCCCCCTTCAGGAGCTCATCGATGTCGACGAGGCCATTGGCGATATACCTCTCGCTCACGCCGGCATTGATGCGGCGCGAGAGCAGATCCCGCAGCTCCGCGCGCATGGCGCCCATCTCGGCCTTGGTCGTCTCCCTGGCCTCCTTCTGCTTCTTCTTGCGCCCGCCGCCGCGGCCGCCCCAGTTGGCGGCCTGCTCCAGGTCGTCGCTGTCGTACTCGACGCCGAGCTCCTCGGCCGCGTTGCGCATCCACTCGTCGTCCTTGCCGCCCTTCTCCTTGGCCAGGGCCGCGTCCGCCATCTTCTTGGCCAGCGTGAGGCGCGGCTTCAGGCGGCCGACCAGCTTCCGGTCCATGTCTAGCGTCTGCACGAAGAGGTTCTTCCTCGTCGTTTTCCGCTCCGAATGCACCTTGGCGATGAGGCGCCTCGTGGGGACCACCTCCTCGGGTGCGCACAGCAGGACGCTGAGACCCGTTTTGGCCGCACGTGCTGTACGTCCCGACCGATGCACGTACGCCGCGGCGTCGCGGGGCACGTGGTAATGCACGACGAGATCGACGTTGGGTATATCGAGACCGCGAGCGGCAACATCTGTAGCGACCAAGATGGAGGACTGACCAGCAGGTGTGTCACTGAAGCGCTCGATAGACCGTAAACGGGCCTTTTGGGCCATTTGTGAATGTAACGCGTGCGAAGTGAGGTTTAGATTCTGTAACATTGGTGAAATGCGCCGCGCCGCACTGATGGAATTGGTGAATACCAGTGTGCGCACATTCGGGTATAAAAGTAATAAAGCATAAAGATACAGGTCCTGAAAATGTATTAGCATATCTTACCGACGACCAGACGGCCTAGGAATCCGCAAGGAGGTTGCTTACCTTCTCCATCGCGCCGCATTCCACCAAGCCCTCTTTCAAACCCTCAGCCATCTGGGACACGGGATTGACGTCGATGAATTTCGGTTTCTCCTCGCGGAAATTCAATTTTTTGAGCAGGTACTCCATTGAGTCTTCCTGACTCATCAGATTTAATTTCCCTTTACCCGCCAGTTTCTGCTGAAGACCTTTATGGAATGTTGCTGAGAAGACGAGTGTCTGTCTGGGAGAGGGCGCGGAATCTTCTTCGTCCTCGTCCATCTCTATTCGATCAAGCGCGCCAAGGATCTCTCCGGCCTCCTTGAAATGGCCCTCTGTCAAAAGCCTGTCCGCTTCATCTATCACCAGGTAGCCCACTCCTTTGAAAGAACTCATTGTTTCAGCGCTCGAACTAAGGACTTCCCATAATCGGCCAGGCGTCCCGATAACGATGTCAGCTTTGGCCAACTGGCGTTGTTGCTTATGCACGGAAAGTCCTCCAGTGATGGAACATATATATGGCGAATTAGGCAGGCCGTTACAAAGGTTCTTGATATGATCTGTAAGCTGATGGGCAAGCTCTCGGGTTGGGGAGAGAATAAGAGCCAGGGGAGTCTTGGTGGCCGTCTCGGTGCTTGTCTCCTCTGCTAGCTCTAGCCATTTCTCGACTATAGGTATGCCAAAAGCTAAAGTCTTTCCGGAACCCGTGGAGGCTTTCCCTACCACGTCATGACCATCCAGGATATGCGGTATAGCAGCAGCTTGAATGGCCGTAGGCTTGGAGAACTTTAACTTGGCTAATGACGACAAAACCCCAGGAGAAAGACCTAATTTCACCCACTCCGATAAATCAATGTCGTCTTGCGATTCGTCCACATCGTCCAAGCCGGCAAACATGTTAGTCTGTAGCTCGCTGTCTTCATCCGCATTTGTCCCCTTGCGCTGTTTCTTCTTGGATTCCTTCTCTGCTTTTTTGGGTGCGGGTGTCGAGGCGGCTTCGTCGGGTATGGCTTTGCCTTTGGCTTTGGGAGCGGTTTGAGTAGCGACCTTGTCGGACTCGGGAATGGCCGCTGGCTCGTCGTCGAATCCTTCGAACTCGTCATTTTCGGCCTCGTTGACCTCGGCGGGCTCGTGATCTGATGAAACAACCGTTCTCTTGCGACGAACTGTCAGAACAAGAAGGAAATGGGGAAAGCTGGGGCTGTCCTACAAACTCGAGAATGTCGCCATCACCCTGTATGATCTCGACGCCATCCACCTCTTCTAGCCCATAGAAACCCTCGGCATCATCGAACATGTCCGGGAGCTTGGCTTTGCTCCATGGTAACGAGTCGACGCCGACGGACCGTTTACTTCGTGTCTTGGATTTTTGAGCGGCGGACGAGGTTTTCGTTCTTTTCGATGACAGCGAGGCGCCGCCGGTCGCTAGCTTCCTCTTCTTGGCGCCGTTCATATTGGAAGAGTTGGGCAGGTAAAAGGGTTCAATTGGGCGACCCGCTGTTGTATCCGTCGCAAAAGAAGTTGCGAAAGTCTATAAAATTTAAGACCCTGCGACCCCACCATGGACCATGGGGGTACCTACGCGTAGGTACAAGGGAACACTAACCCACCGAAAACAGCGCCGTTTGATTCGCTAATTGAAAACCCAGTGAGGTAGTCTCTTCTACCTCTCAGCACCTATTCTCATTCAACCCCTCCTAGCTTCACCCGTCTACCACCAGCTCACCTTAAATATCGTGTTCTGAGTTGCGTAGATCCGCATTCACAATGGGCAAGTCGTCAAAGGATAAACGGGACGCCTATTATAGGCTCGCAAAAGAGCAGGGCTGGCGAGCAAGAAGTGCCTTCAAACTCTTGCAGCTCGATGAAGGTTGTTCTGACCGACCCCCACTGGGAAGTCTGTAGCCAGTGCAAAAGTACTAACCAGACGCATAGAATTCGACTTCTTCGCCAATGTGACGCGGGTGGTTGATCTGTGTGCTGCGCCCGGCAGTTGGTCCCAGGTGCTTTCCAGGGTCCTGATCAAGGATGAGAAGTTCGGCCGCACGGCGTGGGAAGACCGGGAGGCCAAGTTCCGCCAGCAGATGCTTGGCGTTTTCGGCTCTGCGAAGTCTTCCGTCGTGTCGTCGGCGGCGACCACCGCCACGCCCGCCGCCATACAGTCGAGGCCGCGGGAAGACGTCAAGATTGTGGCCATCGATCTCCAGCCGATCAGTCCTCTGCCTGGCATCATCACCCTCAGGGCCGACATCACTCATCCTGCGACAGTGCCGCTGCTGCTGAAGGCGCTGGATCCCGACTATGATGCGAAGACCATGTCGCAGCAGGCCGCTCACCCCGTTGATTTGGTGCTCAGCGACGGGGCCCCTGATGTCACGGGGTTACACGACCTGGATATCTACGTGCAGTCACAGCTTCTTCTCGCTGCGCTGAATCTGGCTCTCTGCGTTCTCAAGCCTGGTGGGAAGTTCGTCGCTAAGATATTCAGGGGCAAAAATGTCGATGTGCTATATGCCCAGCTCAAAATATTCTTCGAGCAAGTCCACGTCGCCAAGCCGAGATCATCGCGGGCTAGCAGTGTCGAGGCATTCATAGTGTGTCTGAACTTCCAGCCGCCGAAAGGGTTCTCTGCGAGCCTGGAGGAGCCTTTGGGTGTTGGATTCCGGTTGAATAAATTGACTGAGCAAAATCTGAGGAGCCACCCTATCACTACACCTACTACATTACAGAATCAGGCAACGGGGGCTTGGGATAGCGCCCCTCATAGCGCTAGAGCCCATGATGCGCATGGTATTACAGAAATTGAACCAGAGGACCATTGTCAGGATGATGAGACAGATATAAGGTGGATTGCGCCCTTCATTGCATGCGGCGATCTGTCTGCGTTCGACTCAGATGCTTCCTACAAGCTGCCAGCTGATCACGTATCGCTCGATCCTATACAGCCGCCCACTGCACCGCCCTACAAACGCGCCATAGAGCTTCGACGGGCCCATGGAGGCGCGTATGGGAAGACTAGCCAAAAGGTGTGAACGTCCCACGCCCAGCACCAGTATAATCATGCTGTCAATGTCGCGAGGCTGGCCCGTCAATGTTTCCCAAAACCAAATTCCTGTTCTCGCGCTCGTCCCAGTCGTGAGCGCCAAGGGCCTTACGATACAGATCCAGCGAACTCTTCGCAGACATGAATACGAAGCGGCGAAGATGTGGCCAAGCTTTGATCACCTCATCCAAGCATGCCAGCATCCAGCGCCCCAGTCCCTTGCCCTGGTACTCGGGTAGAATGTACACGTCGGTGAGGTAGGCAAAGGTCACGTCGTCCGTGATAACTCTCATCAGCCCGATCTGCTTCGGCGCTATCTGGTCTAGTATTTATCACCAGTGGCAATGAGCACGCATACAATGTGAAATTAAAAGAAGGGTTGACTCACTTCCGCTGGACTGGGGTAGTTCGTATAGCCCAAGGCACATCGAATTACCCAGGGCCTTCCGCAATACATCTATTGGAAGCGCCTGCGCCCACCACATGACATCCGAGTCCATGGCGTCCCGAACTGCATCAACCTGGATGAGATCCTGCCTCGTCGAGACGAGGAACTCGCCCTGATGCCAATCCCTAGCCTCAACCTCGAGCCCCATGACTGAGTTTCTTAGGAGACTTCAGTGAGACTACGACAGCTCTTGTCCGAAACTCCTCCCGAGACCAATTGCGTATTGTATTTTGCAACATCAAAGATTCATTTAGCTAGCAATGGGATATGCATTTCAACATAATACACTGGCCTTCCGACCTGAGTCACGATGCTGCTTGCCGCTCGGTTTTCTTTGCCGGTCTCGGTCAGTAACTATTACAAATGCACTTGTATAGCGCCTAGGGTGGTGGAATGCGCGATACCGTAGTGATGGGTAGGGACCTACTCTAGGTACCTATGTGGGCCAAGAGACGTTTTATGGGACAGTGTCATCCACCTTGTCACATGGTGGACGCATCTCGATTGGTCTAGTGGTAAGGATACCTGCTTGTCACCCGGTGATGGCAGCATCTACACTTATGGATGCTGGTATACATGAAAAGGTCGCAGGTGGCCGGGGTTCGATTCCCCGATCGAGAGTTCTTTTGCCCTTTTGGTCTTGTTCTCAACCGTTTTATTATTTATTATCTTATTTCTTTTTGGTTTGCGGGACTATTCAACTTGCATTTTTTCGCTGATTAATTCATTAGTATGATATCCCCTAGTTATATCTTTCTCCAGAGCTGGAAAAGCTCTGCGCTAGTATGAGCGTATGCTTTGTTACAAAAAACTCGCCTAAGTTTTGAAAAAGCTTTGTCACCAAAGTTACCCAGTTGAAGTTACGCAAGTAGCGTAATAGAGACAACAACAAAAAAACAATATGTATTAACTTGCTAACTTTTCTAGAAGTGAAACCGATGCGGCTGGACAGTCGACCCAGTGCTCTTTAATGCGTGAAGGCACCTCTCTCTCTCTCTCTCTCTCTCTCTCCGGCGGACGCGCCGCTAGCTTTTCATGGTGCGGCGCCGCTTAGTTTGTAACGCCGGCTTTGCTGGGTCAATTTGCCGCATGACGACCTTTTGCCGGATGATTTCGCCGCATGACCATGAGTTGCGCCTGCATCCGGTTGATCTCTGCCCGGATTAATTCTTTTTTTCTGCTATGGTCCCCATGCTTCTGCTCGGACACCGACCCCATGATTTCCGCCCAAAACACCTTTTGTATGCCCAGGTTGTAATAGAGCTCGGCGATATCAATGCGGTCGCATATGTCCACGGGATATCCCTCGACAATTTTCTTCGTCACATACTTTTCCCAACGTGTGATCGCTGATTCTAGATTGCTGAGCTCATCTATGAGCCATTTATTGTTCCGTCTAGGCATCGTGCCTGGGGGCTCGTGGTTGTTGTATAGACGGATTGCCGATGAAGGAGTACTCGGGTCTAGGCGTATTGAGGAGGACGACAGGACGGCGATGGCGCGATGACACGTTTCCGTACAGATAGAAGCCGGCTAGGCCTATTAATATGAGAGTTGTGGATATGTATCTGGAGGCGATTGATATAGCAACTGGCGCCAGTCCCTCAGTATGAATAGCGGTATCTGAGATGTTGTATGAGCTGTTCTCCGTAGTGGTCTTGTTTGATTTGTTCTCTGTAGTGGGTTACAACAGGCCCAGAGAGAGACGCCCATCAGCGGCGAGATGTGTCTGAGTGGCCGCGAAGTTCCTTCCAGAGTTCTCTGGGCTGAACATGCTGACGGCAGGATGCACGGGGCCGTAGGCTCACGAAAGGAAGCTGCAGAGACACTGTCCTGCCAAATCATCGCCTCTCGACCGTCGCTTTCCTCGAACGATGCTTCGAGCCCGGATGCGGCATGTCCAACCGGATTCTTGGGATGTTGCGATCAGAAGTCTCATGGTTCGTGAGCCACAGCACCCAACACTCTCTGGTGGTCTCTTGTGTGACGAAACGACATGTCGGCGGATTCATGCTGATGAATAATATTAATAGGATAACTTATATGTAAGAACCAAGCCCAGAAACTTGAGACATATGATGAATGAAGTTTGAACATTCAATGAAAATCGATGCCATAGCGCAGAGAGAACCCTTTGGATTTCCGTTGTTGGAAAATCTTATATGTCTCGGGCACCTGGATAATCACAGATATCCAGCACATTGAAATGTGTTACAGACTATATATGAATGGTATAAGACTTACAAAGAGTGTACAGAGAAGTACTTAAGGTATTAACATGGGCTATGAATGGTCACACAGAGTTGCGTCATGATGAGTCAGCCCAGTCACACTGCCATGGCAACATTCTGAAACCTGCTATAGAGAAGTTAGAACTTAGAAGTAACTACCAACCTAGCCTCACCTTCTCAACACATGCAAAATTGACTTTTCAGTTTATCAACTGAGAACGCGTTGCCAAATCAATCAATCAAGCCTTGTGAGTAAAGGTCTCCGCAAAACGGAGTTGGAGTTGAGATTCTCGTTAGAACCAACTACGAACGCACTACGCTGACTGACATTTAGGTTTCACCAGTCTCTGAGCTTAGATAGAAGAGCACATAACTCCGAACAGGAGCGTGCCAGCAACAGGGAAGAAACCGGCAACGGGGAAAAAACAAAAAAAGAAAAGAAGGAAAAAAGAAGAAGAAAAAAAAGGAGACGCTGAGACGATGGTTTGTGGCTCCTCGAACTCGGCCCTCAATCGCAACGGCCCCGGCAGCGCCGCGTCCTCGACCTTCGAGCGCCTCGTCAAGCCCGCCGACGCGACGGGCGGCCAGACGCGATGCATCGACTGCGGCGACTTTGAGTGCTGCTGCATCCCGATCCCGTGCACCGTGATGTGAGGGAGCATGTTACGGGTGGGAACACGTGCTCATGTCGGCTGTAAGAGAAGGGGGGGAGGCGCTGAAGAGAATTGGCCAAGAGAATCAGAATGAAGTCTGCTAGATGCAGTGGCACAAGTGTTTTAAGAGTGCGCTAAGGGCAATCGCATTTGAGGAGATGACGGCTGAGCTGGAGACACGGAGAATATGAGGGGCTCTTGTGGCAACCTTTCGCGCTCATAACAGTTTCGGTGCATTTCATATTTTTGCTTTTTCGCGTTTGCTTCCTGTCCTATTGAGGAGCGTGTCTAAGGGTATCATAAGCTCTATTTTCCCATGCCTTACGCCAATCGTCCATAGCCAACCATAACTCTTACCGTGAATGCACATAATAATGGGGAAGTGGCAATATGCTGCTGTAGTTACGAGGTTGGACGCCTTCAGTGCCTCAGCAACAAAAACCTCTGCAATGCGGTCTTTTCTGTTGTTCTCTTCTTTGGGCAGTATTTTTTTTGCGCCGCCTGAATGGGTATCATTCCTGCCACGTAAAACCAATCGGGCGTGTCGAAGCCGCCTTCGCGGATTATATCACGAAGGTCTCGGCCACCATAGTCTCCAGTCGAAGGTAATAGCGATATCGGCCGAGCGGGCTTCATCTGCTTCGGGTTTGGCTGCCTGCTAAAGAGGCTGTAGCCTAGGACGTTAGTGATCCCAGATGAAGCATACGACCTAGGAACGAAATACCTCTAGCCAGCAGGCTCCTCATTTCTAAACCCTTCTCCACCCCTTTCTAAACCACTACGGGCAATCCCTTTCCATATTAATCTAGTAGCAAGTGCCAAGCCTCAGCATCTGGGTCGCCATTGTCGTCACTGTCGTGCGTCTCGTGCTTCACCGGCTCATCGATTGTCAAACTACTCAGGCCCTCGAGCACGCGCTCCGCCTTATCTTTCGCATCACGGATGGCATTGGTCTCGGCCCGCGCTCGGTCTAGCTGCGACTGCATCATAGATATGAGGGACTCGCGAGCCTGATGCGGCCGGTATTCGTTGATGAGATGGTGGAAGTTGATAAAGAGGTCTCGGATGTCCGTGACCTTTTCTTCGGCCTGCTCGTGTTCCTTGCGTCAGACAGGGCGAATCCTCGCGGCAACAAACCAGTAGCGCTAGACGGGGGGGGCTTCGCCTGTGACATACCGCTTCAGGGCTGGTGGCCAGCAGACCGGTGAGCTCGAGGAAATTCAGCAGCAAGGACTTCGCTAGCCGCTTGAGAATCATGGCACGGTCGAAATGCTTGCCGTCCTGGTCCCTGTCTTCGGCTTTGGGGAAGAGGCGGCGGATCTCGCCGTCCTCGAGCTGCGGGAGCTCGTCTTCCAGCTTGTAGCGGTTGCCGAAGACGCGCCATTCTCCGTCCTCGGGCTCGGGCGGGGGCTGGAGAGGGCGCAGGGCACGAGGGAGGTCGTCGAGACAGACTTTGGAGGCGTCTTGCGTGCCGGCGTGCTCGGCCGCCTCCCGGCGCAGCTCCTCAATGTGTGCGATGTTGTCCGGCGTAAAGGCCTTCCAGAAAGGCGGCGGGGGCGGCCAGGTGGAGGCCACCTGTTGCTGTTCTTCGTCCATCGTGGCAGATATCACTTGTCTTTGGCTATGAGTACGAATAGAATGCCTGGCGATCCGACAACAAGCGTCGGCGAGGGTGTGGAGGTGACGCAAGCAAGGATCCGTAAGGTAGGTAGTACACACTAACCTGAGCCTAGTGTGCCGGCCGGCGCTTCCCTGTGGGGGCATCCCTACCGTATACGTAGAGGTACCTAAAAAGGGACCGCGGGGCATTTCTCCAAATTTCAGCTGTGGCTTGACCCAAGAACCTCATTCAACTTTACCTAATAGGTACTTGCACGCCATCTTACCGCCTCGTCATGACCGATGCAATCAAACCTCTAAAATAACAGCCACACTCTCCGCTCCTGTCCGTCCACCTCCTATCTCCTCCGGCATTGGGCTCGCCGTCCAGGGAAAGCCATTGGCCATACACCACGGAGCATATAGTGCGGCGTTCCATTCCATTCGCAATGGCTGATGCTCGTGCCCTGTTACGCGCCCATCGGGCTGAGAACCGCATCAAGCACCCTTACGCTGCCTACTCGGAGGCCGGGAAGCTGCTCTGCAAGCTGTGTCGTGATGCCATAAAGACCGAGTCCCTGTGGGATGCGCATGTTCGCAGTGCCGCCCACAGAGCCAGGGTCCAAGCACTACAACAGCAGCCGAGCCCTCCTGCACAGGCCACGGATGACGGCGCACAGAAGCGGAAGCGGAGTGAGGATGCAGACGAGTCCATGTCCGACGCCGAGGAGGATGCAGAGACCACACGCACAAAGCGGAACAAGACCGATGCCGCGTCGAATGGCACTGGGAGCGGCGGAGACGGCAGGAAAGAGAAAGAGAAGACACTGACGCCGCCCGGCTTGGCACGTAGAACATCAGGAACACCCATACAGGGTGTCGAGATCGCCATACCATCTCGGCCTGCGACACCGCTCGCGGGGTCCAACTCGACCGTCTCGACCCCGAAGACGACATCGATAGCCCGCGCTGCTCTATTCGGCTCAGAAACATCTTCCATCTCGGGAGCCTCATCATTATCAGCAGCAGCGGTATCACGGCAGCTAGCAGCGACATCGACATCGACGCCTGTATCGAATGAGACTCTCACCCCTCCGGCCTCAAAGACCACGCAGGCACCTCCCACGAGCAATTCCAC